GTTTCTTGCATCTTCTTTGGGTTTGGTCATTGGGTTGGTATTCAAAATCTGGGTCATGTTCTTGTTTTCTTGATTTTTGTTTGATTCTCTTGACCATGGATCTTTGTTGGGGACTGCCAGTTTTTTTGGTGGACATTTCCTTCAATTGATCTTCTTTTTTACGCAATTCAGCCATGAATTTTTGTTCCATTTCTTGCATTTGTGCTCTCATGACTGATATGAGCTTGTCCTTGTCATCCTCTTTGGTTGGTGTTTGTGGTTGGTCATGACCTATAAAAATGTTGGATTGTGTTTTGGTTAGTTTAATAAAATTTTGCAGTATGCTTTAGTATTAGACAATAGTTTACCTTGTGCATGAAATATGTCAGATTTCTCTTGCAGTTCTTCTTGTTGGTTTGTCAGTTCTTGTTCATTGACTTCTTCTTGTTGGTTTGTTTGTTGTTGTTGTTGTTCTTGTTGTTGGTCTTCTTCTTCATCAAGGTCTTCTTGTTGATCACCTTTTGTTTGTTGTCTTTCTTCTGCTTTGTCATTGTCTTGTTGTTCATCAGGTTCTTCTTCTTTTTCTTGTTGTTGTTGTTGTTGTTGTTCTTCTTCTTCTTCTTCTTCTTCTTCTTCAGTTTCTTCTTGTTCTTCAGCTTCTTCTTCATCAGTTTTTTCTTCATCAGTCACTTGATTTTTTTCATCATCACTCTTTTCTTCTTGTTCATCACTTTCTGGTTCTTCTTGTGGTTTTTGCTTTCTTTTTTTTTGTTGTTGTTGTTCTTCTTGTTCTGATTGTGATTCTGATTCTGAATGATGTTCTTCTTCGAGAAAGTCATCATCATCACTGTCTAGAAGTCTTCTTTTTTTTGTTGCTTTTGTTTTCTTTTTTTGCTTATTGTCCTTTTTGTGGTCTTGTTTTTTTGCTGGAGAGTCTGTTGATGTGCTTTGATTGATATGCAATAACTGTATTTCTTGTTCAGTTGGGGTTAAAGCACTTTGGTTAACCTGCATTGGAACAATGTGGCATATATCAGTAATACTGTAAATTTGATCAGTTTCATAAGACGAGTTGTACTGTGAGTAATGTGGGTTAAGTGTCGAAATATGTTTTTTGAAACTGAAAAATGTTACAGTTTAATAACATGAGTGATGCTAAAGAAGTGTGTGCTTTGAAACTGAAAATTTTCACAGTTTCATAATATGATTTGTACTACAATGAATATGAAAGGAGCGTTGAATAGATTTGTGCTATGATAGTATAGAAGAGTTTGAATACCTTTTCAAAGTGAGCAAGGCTGATGTGTTTCCACTTGGAGTATATTTTGCCAAGGTTCCATTTCATAAACCTTGGGAAGCCTTCTTTGTTGGATGGTCGGAGGAGTTTACTGTGCTCACAGTACCAGTACTGTAAAAAAAAAAAAGTTAAAATATGTTAGATAGTTAGAAATAGGTGGATGTCTGATATTTTTGTGGGAAGTAGTTGAGTAATGTGTTTACCAAGAGTAACATGACGCATCCAGTGACATGCCTTGGGTTGTTGTTTGCATTTGCCATTGAATTCATCACTGTGTCTTTTATTGCCTCAACCCAATTGTACTTCTTGATGTTGTTGAGATTGTCAACATAGTTGAGGAAACTCCAACTGAGTGTATGGCCTGTTGTGGGCATGAGAAGTTTCAAGCACAAGTAAAGGGTGATTACCTTTGCAAGATCTTGACAATCATTAGTTGATTTTCCTTTTTTTGTTTGTTGAAACATTTTGGTCAAAGACTTGCCATCCAATCTCTTGACTGATTTGTATCTTCGTTTGTAAAATGGAATCTCAAAATCCTTTGGTCTTGCATAGGATTTGGTGGTGATGCTGTCTTCTCCACAGTCGATACCAAAAATGAGCTTGACATCACTGGTTCTGAGTTTCATTTCCTTTTTGCCAAGTACAAATGATCTTTTTCTTTTGTTGTAGAGTGTTGTCATTTCTGCTACAATGGAATTGTAGCATCTGCACCAAGAGGCCTTCAGTTGTGTTGAGGAGAGAGCATTTATAAGGGGCCAAAAAGGGGTTTTTTGCAGCTCTGTCTGTTGGGCTTTTGTGAATTTGACCCCCTTCAACAGTTTGATTACCGTTCCGATGTTGGAACGATAATTAAATTGTTGGACTCTCTTTGCAAGGACTGCTACTTTTTTTTTCTTTTGATGCCTTGGTTGTTGTTTTGGGAGTTGATTGGCTTTCTTGGAGCTTTCTTTTTTTGGTTGGAGGAGCTTCTTGGTTTTTTGTTGGCTTTCTTTTGTTTGTTTTTGTTGTGGTTGGAGGTGTGGTTGGTGTTTGTTGGGTGGGTGGGGTCTGTGGTGTAGTTCTTGGGCTTTTTCTTGTAGATGGTGTGGTTGTTTTGTGGGTTTTTTGGTGGGGTTTGTTGGGTTTGGTTGTTTTTGGGTGTGGTGGTTTGGTTTTTTGTGGATGGGGAGATGGTGGTGGCATTTTAGTGGATACAGGAGATGGACTTTCAAAAGGGGAGATGGTTAAATCCCTGATTGGATTTGTGGGCATACGGGTTTGTTTCTTCCAATATCTTCCAACAGCTATTTCTGAAAAAATGAAAGTGACAGCAGGGTATGAGTAATATAGTGACAAAACTGTATAATTTTGAAGTTTTATATGCAGTTTAATATGAAGTTATATGTATTTTGTTGGTAACAGTTACGAAACTGTATAATTTGACAGTTTGATTTGCACTTTATAATAAGTTAGCTATTTGTTTTGAGTAGTGGTTAAGCTGTGTAATTTTGCAGTTTCATTTGCAGTTTGAATAAATTTAGATATGTTACTTGTATAGTGATGAAATGAAACACTATGATGTTGCAGTTTTTTATAAGGAAACAGTATGAACAATAGGAACAGCCCATTGTATTTTGTAAAAAGCAACAATAACAACAAGAAGATTAAAAATTCAAAAATAAGAATAAGATAAGCCAATATTGAACAACAAGAATAAGAATAAGGTGTTGAATGTGTAAAAACATGGATTTATGTGTAAAAACAATGTTTAGAATGTTGAAAAACAGGGAACTATATATAAAAAAGGGTTTATACATTTGGAAGTATGTAAAATGTGTATATACGAAATATGAAAGAATGATGTACAAATGTGAATGAAAAATAATGAATAGGTGAAGAGAGATGTTACTTTTTTTCCCCATTTTTGTGAATCGGAAGTCAGGAACTATGAAATCTCTTCAGAGTGGTGATGGTTCTTCGTGTTGTTGAGAGTCGCCGATTGGAGAATATGAACGGCTTGGTGTTGTGTTGAAGATGAACGGTTTGGTTTTGTGGTTAGGGTAGGGTTTCAGAGGGAATGAAGTCGAACGGAGGAGAGATGGAGGATTGAGAATGCGATTTCGAGCGGCAGAGATGTAACAGTGTACTGATCAGACTGAGATGATTGTGGGTGATGAAGATGAACGGTTACGTTTTCTGGTTAGGGTTAGGGTTTCAGAGGGGATGGAGTTGAACGGAAGAGAGATGGAGGACTGAGGAGTCGATTTCGAGCGGCGGAGACGTGACAGTGTAGTGATCGGATTGAGATGATGGGGACGTGGGAGATGGTTGCGCGCGTGTAAATTGGATGATATATTGTGGGTATTTTCGTCTTATTGTTAATTTGAGGACTTAATGGAGTATTAAATTTGTTTTGGGTCTAAATGGGGTATGATATGTTGGGCTTGGACTTTTGGGTCAGACGCCCTTTTCTTAACATATTATTGGATCTAGAAATGACTCAACGAGTCTAAAATGTGTACTTATATATCATTTTTCAATAATAAAATATAATTTTGATAAGCAAATAAATCGCCAACCTTATGTTCCATTTTCTGCACATTTTGTCAATCAAACATAAAGTCTACTACTTCAAAAATACCATAAAACCTGCCTGCACGTTCTTTAGCCATCTTAATATTTTCACACATATTATCTCATAATAATATTCCAAAAGATTCATATCATTTGGTGACTTTGTATTTGGCTGTGGCACAGGAATGAATGTCATTGGTACAACATACTAAAGCCTATGTTTTGACTTGTAAGGACACTAAATATTATTCGTGATGGTCACGTAGGGAAGCTCTTATTATCCATAGTTGGATACTATATAAGGTTTAAACATCGTGTGCTTGTTTCACATAGAATTATCAATTTCATCAACAAACCTAGATTAAAAAATCAAAATCAAAATCAAAATCAAAATCAAAATCATGGCTTCTTCTTCGTCCTCCATCCATTCATGGTGCATTAGCTTCTTGGTGGTTGTGGGATGGATTATGACAATCATCGACAGATCAAATACCGGTTACGTGTCTGCACGGAACACACACGTGTTTCGGCCTAGCCAATGGGCCCTCACACATGCCACATTTTATGGCGACGAGTCCGCCTCTGCAACCATGGGTTAGTATCTCACTATCTTATGTAGTTTTGAAGTAATAATATTAGGTATATATAATTTAAGTGACACTGAACACTCGTAGGTTGGGGACTCATAGTATGTGAGTATTTTGTATGGCTTATGTGTTCCTAAATTTAATTGCTTTTAAAATGGTCACACAGTGATTTCTCATTTTCTCATAAATTTTTTAGTTAATCCTTTATGATGTTTGGTACCTAGCTATCATTAATTTTTTAGATAAATTACAAATACACTCCTTGAGATTTACTTAAAATATGAATTGCCCCCTGTATTTTTTATTTAACAGAATCAATTGAAAAGTGAAATTTTTAACTATTCACCTGTACAATAATAAAATTATCTGAATTATTAATTGAAATAAAATTGTAACATTATTAAATACCGTTAATTAACTTGATGATTTATTAATAAAAGGATCTATTTGTTATAAAGTTAGAAACCCTAAGAGCATAATGTAATTTCTAAAACTGCAAGGGATAATTTGTAATTTAAGTAAAATTTAGGAAGTGTGTTTGTAACCTTATTTGTCAAAGACGTTACAAATTCAATGAATGGGAAAAGAAATTTTAGAATCATATTTGCATGCACCCCCAAACAGGTTTGAAGTATGCCTTACTGCAATCTCAATGGATCATTCTGAAACCAACTATTGATGTTCTTTTTTCTGGGATTGGCATGCATATAGGAGGAGCTTGTGGGTATGGAAATTTATTCAACAATGGTTATGGAACCGATACATCGGCTTTGAGCTCGACCCTGTTCAATAATGGATATGCTTGTGGGACTTGTTACCAGATCAAGTGTGCTCAATCACCATGGTGCTATAAGGGGTACCCATTCACCACCGTAACGGCTACAAACCTGTGCCCACCAAACTGGTATGAGGACTCAAACAATGGAGGGTGGTGCAACCCACCTCGGACTCACTTCGACATGTCCAAGCCTGCTTTCATGAAAATTGCACAGTGGAAAGCTGGCATTGTCCCTGTCCTTTACCGGAGGTAGATTAATTTCTATCCTATCTCTCTTTGCATGAAAATTATCTCGATATCTAGTTTTTTTTTTTTTTTTTTTTTTTTTTTTTTTTTTTTTTTTTTTTTTTTTTTGAGTAGACAGAAATAGGAACAACTCCAATAAACTCGTCAATCTCTCTATCTTCTCCTTTGCCAAAATAGCGAGTCACTCTTCAAAACCATGCTCCAAAGGACTTCATTATATCAGATTAGGTAGTTGGAATACAAAGATGACCAAATACAATTACATTTATATTAGTCTCTATTTTAACGGATTATGTCACATGTGATTGTTAGTGAGAAAATGGTTAGTGAAAAAATTGTTAACGTAGGGATTGTTAGTAAAAATAAGTAAAAGTGTGGTTGTTTTGAAAATAGTGTGGAAGATGGTTAGTGATGTCAGATTGTTAAATTATTTTTATAAAAAAAAAAAAAATTATTTCAATTTAAAAAAAAAATGAAAACAAACAGATGCACTTGGTAAAAAAAAAAAAAGGTCTAATTTGATTACTATTTTACTAATCCTACCCTCTACCTAGTCAAATTAATCCCCCCTATTGAATGAGATTACTAACCCCTTAGACTATCAGTATGGCTTCTCATTTCAGAATCAAACATGCTGTGGGTAGGGCCCGCATGCATGGTAATCCAATCAGGCCACTAAAACCGGTAAACAAACATGATCTTAGGCCTTATTTGATTAGTAAAATTAATAGTAAAACGATTAATAATTTCATGAATTAGTGTATGATTAGTTATTCAATTAAATTGACGAAATAATCATTTATTATGTATTCATTTTATTTTTTCCTTTTATATTTAAAATTATGATCCACAACCTCTCTCAATATTAAAAATTTGCTAATTTTGTCGAATGAATATCCATCATACATGTAATCCAGTTAACAAAATTTGAAATCAAATATAAGATTGTGAGTTTATGGACTAACAATCTCAATCTTATGCTATAATCTTACTAATCAAACATATCCTTAAGGAATTTGGTGAGGCACTAAGATTCTCTAAACCCTTGTAAAAAATTTTTTAAAAATATTCTCTCATCTTTGATTTCGTCAAAATCGCCTAGCAAGTGAGTGAATAATTAAACTTTTACAAACTAAAAAAAATAAATATTTAAAATAAATAATGGAGAAAGAATAGTGAATATTATTGAAGGGCTTATTTGAAAAAATGGTTCTCTAAAATAAATGAGACATTTTTCTAACTAAAATTTTAAGAGAAAAAATAGAGAATATTGTTGAAATCTCCATATTTTAGGTAAAATAGATCATTTTAGACAACACCAACATTCTCGATGTTTCTATTTTTTTCCAGCTAAAGCATAGAGTCATTTGTTAAAAGTCAACAAATTAGTGAAAGTGTTTGTTATTTGCAGAACACCAAAATACTCTATATCTCTATTTTTTTTATAGCTAAAATAACACATCTAATAATTCCAATCATGTTATTAATTTTTTTTATAAAGTTTTTGGTTCTTGAGTAATTATGTTAATTATTAAAAAAAAATGCTTATTTTGAGAGATTGATCTCATATTGATCCAATACATATTTTTGTTGGGTGTAGTGTGCCATGTGTCAGGAAAGGCGGACTCAGATTCTCATTCCAAGGAAACGGGTACTGGTTGTTGGTGTACGTGATGAACGTTGGCGGAGGCGGTGACATCTCCGGCATGTGGGTGAAGGGCAGCAGAACTGGGTGGATTAGCATGAGCCATAACTGGGGAGCTTCATATCAAGCATTTGCTACTTTGAATGGCCAATCTCTCTCTTTTAAAGTCACTTCTTACACTACCAAAGAAACCCTTATAGCTTATAATGTCTCTCCTGCAAACTGGAACTTTGGATCGACCTACCAAGCCAATGTCAACTTCCATTGATGCATCACTTGATCGTCGTCGATCTTTTGGCATTTTTTAAGCCTTAAATGCTATAACATAAACCAATTACTTGCGTTTGTTATCACTAATGCAAATATAATGGGCTTTACGTGTATTTATTAATGTAAGTTTATTATTTTATGTTCAGTGATTAAAAAAACGTGTAGGAAATCATTTGTGTATGATAACTATTTATATATTTGTTACCTTTGTTATATTTCTTTGGAGAATATATGTATATATTTTCCAATGAATTCAGATGTTCTTCGGCTTGGGTTAATTTAAGTGCTCAGTGGAGCTAATAGATGGGTGATATTGAATATGTAAGTAAATAAATAGGTGAGAGTTGTATAAATAATGGGACATTTGAACAAATAGTTGAACATTTGAACATATAATTGTATAGATAGGTGAGGCGTGTATAAATACGTGATATTTGAATAGATAAGCAACATTTCGAACAATTAAACGAATGGGAAACTTTGAACAGATAGGTGTCCTTTTAGACAAATAATATGTAATTTTAGCTTAAAAATATTTAAGCTTAGGGGCAATAGGCCTAGGGGTGTAATTTTGGCTCGTGACCCGTGGGCGGTCCGAAGCCCGCTTGCGGCCCGAGGTGGGCCCGGCCTGTTAAGGCCCTAGCCAAAGCCCAGCCCGAGGTCTTGGGCCAGGGCCTGGGTCATCGTTTTGAAGCTAAGCCCGGCCCGCAGCCCGACCCGCAGCCTACTCAAGCCTGCCCAAAAGCCCGGCCTGAAGCCCGCCCCGCCCGATGCTTAGTGTTATTTTTAATGAAAAATAATAAAATTTTGGTAGAAAAAATAAAAAAATAAAAAAATAAATTGTTTAGGCCAGCCCAAAGCCCAAATATCCCTGGGCTTGAGTTAGGGTCTGGGCCTAATTTTCTGACCCGTGGCCCGCCCTGGTCCGATTTTTTTGACGAGAGCCCGCATGGCCTGACCCAGGCCAGACTGGACCGGACCAAAATTGCACCCCTAAATAGGCCCACGAATTAAAAAAATGGACATCTGGTTTAATTGGGTGACTTTAGCAGGCAAACGTCAAATGAAAAAGAATTGGGTTCGATTCACATTAAAATGGATCAAATGATGCAAGAGTTGAATAAGCAAATTTATAAAAGTTAGTAGACCCCATGTCCATTTAAATCTGTCTATATAAAACCGATTTGCTATTTCAATAATTTTAAACTTGCTAAATTTAAGGTGCAATCCGCATAAATTCGCGGAAATACATGTCATTACACTGTATCTTGATTATCAAAACTTGTAATTTAATTCGGGTAAGAAAAACAAATATACCCTTCAATCTCTAGGAAAAACCTTAGTTAATTAATTATAAACGTTAGTTAATTAATTATAACTTACAAGTGCTATACTTTTTTACTGGCACCTGGAATGTATACTATTTTCATCATTAATTAGAATTCAACTAAGGTAATCATAGGGAGAAAAAGAGACAGAGAGGATATATGCATTGAAAAAAAAAAAAATTTAATAATTACCTAAACTTTATTAATGACTAGTGTAAAGTAATGTACAATGCATAAGTCGCTTCACACAGGGGACCAAACAACAAAATAATATGATATAAGAAGCAAAGCTCCTGTCGAAGCCCTAAATATTTTTGTATATTTTGGTACCCTAATTACACTGTAAAACCTTACCGTTTCTTGTATTTTTGTTTTTTTTGTTTAAACTTTTAAATTTTTAATAAATAAAAAAATTACTTTTAAAATTTTGAAAATTATTTTAGCACTATAACGAAAAAAAGCGAATGTTTCTGAACAGCCATTATTTTATTTTTGATAACGCGCGCAAACACACACACACAAAAAAAAAAAAAAAAAACTCAAAAGGATTTTACTTAGGGGCTAGCTTGATCATGCTATTTGGGCCCATGAAACCCACCACGGGTCTCGTTTTAATAATTCAAACTATTTTCATTTTTTAGACTATTACGTGTATAGATCATTCATGAAAAAAATCAGATCAATCTGATAACCATTTTACATTTGTTTCTCAAAAAAGGAATGATCTAGTTTTTAAATAATATTTGTTGTGTTTTTTTTTTTTTTTGTGTGCAAATATGTCATAGACTAATGCGGTTACTATTATCGTATCAAACTTATTTTTTTATGGATGATTTACACATAGCCTAAACAATGAATGGTTTAAATCATCAAACAGAACATGTGATAGACCACACAGGCCTAAACAACGTGGTGTAATCCATAGAGTGCATTGGAGATAAGGTAACCCTTTTTACTTTTTAAATGGATTTTCAATGTCGTGTAAATATAAGATTCATCGTGTATATAAATTTACTAGCAAAATTCATTCCTTAAAAATATTATTTTACTTTTTCATTTCATTTATTTATTGTCATTGTTGACTTTAACAATCCAAGGCTTGCCAGTTGCTTCCTCTCATCTACCTTGGATATGGATGATCCCAACACAGGTGAGAATATGGGGGACCCTTCAAAGAGCAAACAATTTTGAAGGGAATGCCACTGCTAGAAATAGCAAACAAACAACAACATGAGACCCACAAAAAAGTAGTTGCATGCTATCAAACACAGTTGGGAGTGGGAGGCATGTTATCAAACACAATTAGAACATTGAGTATTGCCCCCCCAAAGCGACACTATGCCCTTCATTCCATTCCCCAAGCACGCCTTCCTTTTTCCTTTCCTTTTTACCATGTACTGCTATCATCACCTCCACACTCTCCCAAATCATTCCTTCCCACTCACTTTATCAGCCTTAAAAGGCTTAAACCACGTCCTTAACCTTTTCATATATATGTTTGTGTATATATGTGTTCATTTTCATTTGGAGTGAAGTACATTTTGCCACATTATAAATTTGCCCATTGAAATTCATTATTTCTCTTAAAATTAATTGGTGATTAAAAAAAATTCACATATAAGTTCTATGGCATGTGACATCATGTCTATAAGACTATTTTTAGAGTAATCGTAGAGTGATATTGTGGATCCAGTATAAACAATACACCATATGGTACCAAATTTTCTTTCTTTTTTATTGATTGACTAAACTTTTTTTTTTTAATGTGTGTGAAAATAAGTCTTCATTGCTCGTACTTGTCCAAGTATGTCATATTTCGAATGAAAGACTACTCTCCTAAGATATGTTCAATCACTTGCAAATTATATATATCAATGAAAGAGTCATATTTAGAATGTCCACGCTTACCTAAGTCAAAGCAGTATTCACATAAAATTTGATCTTCTTTCAATACTTAATCTCTTCTATGTAGAAAAAAGAATGATGGACGAGTATAACTAAAAAAGTCAAAAGTAATATAAAAAGTCAATTCATTATTTCTACTTTCTTTTCACATCTTTTTATAAAAAATAAAAAATTATTAAAAAAATTAATTCCCAAACCAAACATGGTATAGATTGCCTATTTTGCTACATGCAAAACAAAACCACAGATGCATGTAGCCAAACTCATCCCCACCTCACCTAAACCAACTGGCAGTCATATGAACTAAACCTCCCAACTCACCTAACTCCATTTAATATTCTCTCCAAAGCTCCATATATTATAACAAAACATTAACTGTACTTTCTCTTTTCCCTCTTCACTTTTGCATTTGTGAAAGCTTTCACACAATCATATATATATATTGGCCACACAGTCCAAACTTTCCTCTTTGCAACTCCAACCTAGTTTCAACCCACAGTCAAGAAAAAAGCTGGTTTTAATTAGTGCTTTTCATAGAACCCAAGCTCTTCTTTTCATGTACATGTCCCAAAAACAGAACAAAAGCAACAATACCATACTGGCAAGCGCTAAGATTCTTGTAGCAAACCAACCTTTCAGTCTGTCAAATGGGCTCTCTTATTTTCTCTCTTACACTCACAATCCTGTCATTGGTTTCGTTTTCATCGATTACAATCGAAGCTCAAGGAATCAAATCAGCTCGCCTCCTCGATCTTCTCATCAGAGATTACACGTTCCAATCATATAACAACAAGTACTATTTCAAGACAGGAATGTTACACACTGTAAAGTTACCCGCGAATCTTTCTGGCATTGGAGTCCATACAGGGAAATTTCGATGTGGCAGTCTTCGAAGGTACGGTGCTCAGCTCAATGAATTTCATTTGGGTATTGGTGTGATTGTTCACCCGTGTGTTGAGAGAGTCATGATAGTTAGGCAAAACCTCGGATTTAACTGGTCTTCTATATACTACGATAACTATGAATTATCAGGATATCGCCTTGTATCGCCTGTTTTAGGCCTATTGGCTTACAATGCCGGTGATGATATGAATTTTAGTAACCCTTTTGAGGTTGGAATTTTAGCAGATGATCAAAATCCCATTACTATAGATTTCAGCAACACTACAATGCTGATCAATAACACGATGGGGCTAATACCGGTGTGTGCTAGATTCGAGCATGATGGGAAGGTTGCTCTGGCGAATCAAGTGTCGCCAAGTGTCTGCGCTGCAACGGGGCATGGGCATTTTGGGCTGGTGATTGAGTCTCCATTGATGCCGGATAGGAAGAAAGTGAGTGGGTGGAAATTGGCGATTGGGAGCTCGGTTGGAGCTGCATTGGGAGCTTTTCTTTTGAGTTTGCTTTTAATTGCTCTTTTTGTTAAGGTTAAGAAGAAAGCAAGAATGGAGGAAATGGAGAGGAGGGCTTACGAAGAGGAAGCTCTGGAAGTGACAATGGTTGGACATGTTCGGGCTTTTACAGCACCTGGTACTCGAACACAACCTGTAATTGAACATCAGTACAGACCTTCCTCTTGAATTTCTTGATTTTTTTTTTGGCTGTAGCATTCTTTTTGTAAGATTTTAGATGAACACAATGTTTTGGTTCATTAATTAATTAGTACAATTCAATTGTTGACAATCTGTTTTTAGAGATCTGTCCATTTCATTGGATTTTTTTCTTCTTCTTCCAAATGCAGGAAAGATAGAGATCAAAGTATTTCTTTTTTTTTTTTGATGTTTGAAGGAATTTTATTTTATATACAAACTAATTGTAAGAGGCAAATTAGGGTCCAGGCTATTCGAATTTTATTTATTTATTTTCCCAATGATCCAAACACAACATAATGTTAGAAATTGAAATAATCATCTATTCATACAAATTAAGTGAATAACCATTTTAGTAACAGGTGTCAGGACAGAGGAATGAACATTCAAACATGAATTTAAGAGACACCTTAAATTCATACTCTGATTTTCTATCAATTATAAATCGAATCATGTAGATGTGAGCACAAAATTTTAAATAACAGTATTAACTATTAGGAGACGTATCAATTCCAGTCGCAACTTAAAACAATATCACTGAGTATGAAGTGATAATTATTGAGAATTGAGTGTTGTAGTGAATTTTTTAATGTCATCTTGTAAAAAATATTTAGCAGCCAAATTTATCGTATCAATTGTAAATCAGTGAATATCGGCGATGAATTAGCCTGTAAAGTAATTATGAACAAATACGGTTCGGGAACTAATCCATATCAGCTCAAAGGATGGTAACTGGAGAGACATAATAAGCCTGCAGCCCCCACAACCATTCTGTTTGACCGAGAGGAAAAGAAAGGAAAAAGAGAAAGAAAATAAAAATTAGGAGAGGGATAAGATGATTACGATGTGTTTCCTTTAAGAATACTCATGTGACACTTTAATGGAAGCATGCCCTGTTTCCAACTCAAGTAGGTAAAAGTGACCAAAGAGCTCTTGCAGTCAATGTGATATAAGGAAGCAATGGGCTTTGTGAAGAAGCATATGAACTTTTGAGTGGACTGTATTAACCCTATTTGTTCTCTACTCAATTGACTTCTTGTATCATTGATGTTAGTTAAGTGACCAAGGATTTAGATGGAGGTTCAAGGGGCTAATACATTATTTATCTTCTACCTTTTGACTATTGTTGTTTGACTATGTAATCCGTGTCTAAATCAAACCGATCTTATAGCTTATATATCCATGCAGGCATACAATATTTCAGTTAATTACAAATTACTTGGTGTTACAAAAAGCTTAAAAATATGACATAACTATTAAGAAATTAAATATTATCATGTTTAATAGATCTTAATTAAAGATTATATTTTCATTGGAGATGCCCTTATGTCACTCCCTATTTTAGAGGGAACACAAATCACTTGACAGCTATTTAAAGGCACTAAAACTCTGAGCAAATTACATCTTGAAGTTTTAATAACAAAAAAAAAAAAATTAATTTAATAGTTTTTGGAAGTTTTTAGTTTAAAAATCTCTAATATTAATTTGGGTTGGGTTGGTTTGGAAAGTGGGTTGGATTTTTGGCTTTCTAGTTTTTTTGGCTATTTTAGCTTGGGCTAAAAAGCTTGGTTTAGGAAGGGCTTTTTGACTTTTTGATTTTTTTGACTTTTTTTTGTGAGAGAAGAGTATAATGATTATGGGTTGGATGTGATGTTTTGTTTGTTGTGGCTAAAATAACCTATTTTGTTTTTTTTGACTTTTTTTGTGAGAGAAGAGTATAATGATTATGGGTTGGATGTGATGTTTTGTTTGTTGTGGCTAAAATAGCCTATTTTGTTTTTTGTGGCTATTTTAGCCAAAAAAAAGCCCAAAAAATCTCTTCCCAAACAGAGACAATTTATAAGATTTAGGACATATAACATTTTCATAATAGTTAGGATCCCTCAACATTTTTATAGAGAAATTTCAACATAGAGATATTTGTCTTTACAGAGAAATTTCAGCTCATCATAGAACTAAATTTCTCTAATAATATTATTGAAAGACTTTAACTAATAAGAAAAAATATATTGAATCTCCTACTACTAAAAATTGAAAATGAATATTCCACTAATTTTTCCTAATTTTTGGATGTCATAGTGACGCTGTCTGAGAAGTAAAGATTGGGGCGAAAATAGCAAATAAACACATACAAACAAAAGTCCATCACATGGCTTTGTCACTCCTTGTTATGCTTGGGAATAACATCATTGTTGTAGGAGCATTTTAGTCATTTGCCATCCTAATATTATTCCAAACACATTTTTTAATATAAAATTTTTAAAAATATATATATATATAAAAATCTAACCTATCTTTCCAAACACAAAAAACTAAAATAATCTATTAAAATAACTAAATAGCTAAACACAAAAAACTAAAATAATCTATTAAAATAACTAAATAGCTAAAAAAACGGAGCCAATAACTCATGAAAGCAAAAATAGAAAAATTAAAAAATGGTGGCCCATCATACATAGTGGCCTTTTTAGTGTTGTAGTGTCAAGAGTTGGCTCTTTACAGAAATTTAAATGGCTGACCCACTGAGCCTACATTCGATGGCCCATAGGACCACAGTTTCCTCTCAATATTTATATCTATACTATATATAAAGTAAAAGGGAGTTTTTAACTCCAACATTTGTGAGAGTTCCAATATGTTAATCTTAGTTTTCTAATTTTTTGTTTTTTTAAAAAAAAAAAAATTAACCTTTACATTTATTAACTTCTCTCAATCCACAAGACTTTTTGACTTCTCTCATAATTACAGCAGTACTTTTTCCAAAACAAATAATTTGTATATTAAAAAAAATTTAAAACAAATATAAATATCTATATCTATATCTATCTCTAACCCACAAATCTCTAACCCACAAGTTTTGTGTGAGTTCCAATATCTGAACCTTAATTTCTTAATCTTTTTGATTTTTTGTGAAAAACAAAAACTTAGCACTTATTAAATTCTTCCAAGTCTTTTTAACTTCTCCAATACACACACTCTTTTTAACTTTTTACATACCTATTGCAAAGAGTGAGTCTCCTTCTTGACTTCTCACTTCTACACTTTCAACTTTAGTGACCACGTATGCAAACAGTAAGTCTTTTTTTTGTTTTCTCCTTCTTGACTTTTCCTTTTGTTTGCTGTTTTAATACTGTAGTTAGATAGCGCATAAAAATATTTGTGATTTGTCTAGCGAATAAAAATTATAATTTGTTAAAATTAGATAAATATAAACCCTCACAAAGAGAAAAATGTGATTATAATTAATTGAATGGTTCTTTTTTTTTAATGTGATTGTAGTTAGTTTAATAGTTTTTTTTTTCATTTTTTTATTTTATTATGGAAAAAATGTGAAGTGATTGTAATTTGTTCAATGACTTTTTTTTAATATGATTGTTATAGTTAGTTCAATGGTTTTGTTTTTTAATGTTATTTAATCTTTTTATTTACTATTTTAATTTTATTTTTAATATGATTGAAGTTAAATAAATGTAAACACTCACAATGAAAAAAATGTGATTGTAATGTGATGTGATTGTAATTTGTTTAGTGACTCTTTTTTTTAATATGATTGTTGTAATTAGTTCAATGGTTTTTTTAATGTTATTTAATATTTTTATTTACTATTTTAATTTTGTTTTTAATATGATTGAAATTAGATAAACAAAACACTCACAAAGAAAAAAAATGTGATTACAGTTAGTTCAATGGTTTTTTTTTTAAATGTGATTGTAGTTAGTCAATTGTTGTTTTTTTCATTTATTTCTTTTATTATAGGAAAAATGTGATGTGATTGTAGTTTGTTCAATGATTTTTTTTAATGTGATTTAATTTTTTATTTACTGTTTTAATGGTTTTTCCTTACAATTATTTATGAAAAAAATATGATTGTAGTTAGATAGCATAAAAATATTTGTGATTTGTTTTGATTTGATTTTTAAAGTACCAATTATTGATAATGATTATATTGTATTTTGAAAAAATAATTATAATTGATTTTTTTAACGCACTGTGTTTTTTGAAAAAAAATTATTGTATTTTTTTAACTATCAATTCACTTAATTTGTGATTTGATTTTTAACTTACTGTATTTTTTATAAAAGGAAATAGATTGTACTCATTACGGTCACATAATGTACCAATTATTGATGATGATTAGATTGTATTTTGACCAAAAAAAATTGTAATTGATATTTTTTAACTCACTATGTTTTTTGAAAAATAAATTATTATTTTTTGTAATTATCAATTGATTTAATTTGTGATTGATTTTTTTAATTATTGATAATAATTGATAGCATTGAAAAAATTGTGATTTGTATGATTGAAATTATCTCATTTTGTTGAAGTTATCTCACATGCCTGCATTTATTGATTTAGTCAAAATTTCCTGATCAGCATTTAAAATCTTCTAATATAAATAATTATAGATACAATCTGTGTATAGTTACTACAGAACCATTTTCAACTTCTCTCATATACTATAATTAATGATAAGATTATTAAATTATTTTTATAAAAAATTTTAAAAAACATAATTTATATATTAAAAAAATCTAAAACAAATATAAATATCTATAATTATTCTGTACATAGTACGAATGATAGGCTCGTATGAATTTGAAAGGAAAGGAGGCAAATTACGGGCTAATCCTACGTGATAGATTTGATTTTTTATAAATTATGTATATATTTTTAGGGAAATTGACCTATAAATAGGAATTGTAAACCAATCCTATTTTTTATTTTATATACATAGAAGTCCCATTTGGTGTGGGGTGACGTACTTGTCCATTTTGTGGATAGTGTTATAGTTGGAATTTATATTATATATTAAGTAAAAGGGGGTTTTTAATCCAAAGTCTTGTAGGAGTTCTAATCTTTCAATCTAAATTTTTTGATTTTTTGATTAAAAAAAAAAATCCTAGCATTTATTAACTTCTCACAACTCCTAAGTCTTACCCTCATAATAACACTATAAAAAAAATTCTTTGAAATCTAACACATATGAATTCATTGAAAAGTTCCAATATATATGATTATTATCCCTCATAATAACACTTTAATGTATTAAGAATATGCATAAAAAAATTTCTTGAAAAGTCAAACACATATGATTATTATCAAAATATTAAACTTTAATATAATATAATAATAAAAAAAAGACATTTAATTCCTTGTAAAGTCCAACACATATGATTATTATTAAAATATTAAACTTTAATATAATATAAAAAAGGAAAAAAAGAAGACATTAAAAAAAGAAAGAAAAAGAAAACATTTAAAAATCACAATTCACATATATAGATAATTGTAAACACAATCCGTGCATAGCACGGGTGATATGCTAGTACTATATATTAAGTAAAAGGAAGTTTTTAACCCCAAGACTTGTGGGAGTTTCAATATCTCAATCTGAATTTTCTAAATTTTTTATTGAAAAAAAAACTCAGCATTTATTGATTTGGTCAAAATCCCTTGATTAGCATTTATTAACTTTTTTCAATTTACATGTCTTTCCACATGCTTGCATTTATTAATTTAGTCAAAATTCTCTAATCAGCATTTAAAATTCCCTCATACAAATAATTATGGATGCAATCCGTGTATAGTTACTGCAGTACCCTTTTCAACTTCTCTCATACACTATGGTTAGTGATAAGATTGTTAAATTATTTTTATAAAAAATCTTAAAAAACATAATTTATATATTAAAAAAAATCTAAAACAAATATAAATATCTGTAATTATCTTGTGCATAGCACAGGTGATATGATAGTATTTTATTACTCTAATTTCCGTTTATGATATGTTTGGAAAAACCATCCTATAGGTTTTTTGGGTTTACCACACTTGGTATGGTAGCGCACACTCGGAACCAACTGCAACTTTTCAGCCTCCCAAAATTGAGAATTTCGACACTCGGTATGGTAGCCCACATTCAGAACCAACCTAAATGTTTCAGCCTCCCAAAATTGAGGATTTCAATCAAACCACATTTGGATCCAACCCAAACGTTTGAACCCCCAAAATTTCAAATTCCAAGCACACGCCACTAATTTTGTGTGTTTGTCGATTGAGTTTTCATCGGAGCAACGTTTTCGTCATTCTCATTTGGAGATTCTGTCAAACAGTTTAGCTCCCAAATAGATTGAGGATTCCGACTAGCATCTTTGATTCGGTGTGTTTGCCGGAGAGGGTTTTGACGGTGTGACGTGTCGTTACTCTCGTATGGATGTGCCATATTCACCTGGGTAACTGTTTTTGGCAAGCCCAAACAAGGTTTTTCACCATGCACGTTGCATCTTTACGTGGTGACCACACTGTTTTTGGCAAGCCCAAACAAGGTTTTTCACCATGCACGTTGCATCTTTACGTGGTGACCACATCTACGGGATTCAATATTCTGAAATCATTCGCGTGGGTTTATGGCTTGTGTAAATCATGTCGTATTGCGATTTTGTTATCATTGGATCACATATTATGCAATGTACTTAAAGAAACAAATCAATCCCACATCAAAAAAAAAAAAAAAAAAGGCACAAAAATCCCCCCTAAATCCCATAAAATTCGCAATGTATCGTTGTTGTCATCAAAGCAACGTATCATTGTTTTGATTTGTGTGTCTCACATTCGATTGGGTCACTATTTTCGTCAACTCTGATTGGGGTTTTTGTTGTTGACGTTGCATCTTAGTATGACGATCACAACTATGGGATTCAATATTTTGAAATCATTCGCATGTGTTTAGGGTTTGTGTTGTATATGTTAGTTTGTATACTGTGATTAAATGGTGGCTTTGGTTTGTCTGATTTATTTTGATTTCGAGTGAGTGTGTTATTGTTTGTGTACCTATGTGTCACATTAGTTGACCTCATGGTTGTTTTTCCCTCACATGGTTGGTTTTGATGATTGTGTAAATTTTTGTAATGTGTTTGGTAATTTGTGTACTGTTTCATGGACATTGTGGCCACCTGTGTGGGATATGGGAGAGTGGATGGATGAGATTTTGGGCGATGTTGGATTTTTTTTTTTTTGATGTATGTTTTTTGGGGTACAAGTGTGGTCAGGTTGGGTGGCTTTGTCCACATCATTATAATGTGAACAATAATATCGGGCCTAACGTAATCAACGAAACTTAAAAAATTCCTTCCAAAACATTTCACCCACGAAGAAAGGGGTAAAAAAAGTCACTAAATTCATTCCACAAATAACAATTGGGCTGTTACGGATCACATTGCCAAAAAAAAAACAGAGACTTACCAGTGTATTAAAGGAAAAGGAGGACTCTCCCAAATGGGATTTTTTTAAATATTTATTTTGTTCTAATATTTTTTGGGGAATGTTGCTAAGTAAAAAAATAACAGAATTTATAAGTAAATAAATATGTTCAATTAGAGTCCATGAGTCCTCCCAAAAGGGTTAGAGTTCCCCCCCTATTAGCATGTATTCATTGGGACCCCCCCCCAAAAAAAAAAAAAAAAAATGGGTAGAGCATGCCTATTTTTTCCTCAAATTTTTATCTAAAAAGTGTTTTTCTATTGGATTTATTATAGTTTCTACTCCTCAGATATCACCAAATTGTCTATATAGTTTCTAAACTATTGATTGGGTCTACTAAATTCCTAAAATATATAAATCAAAATCTATTTAGTTCTTAAGCTATCAATTGAATTTATTAAGTACCTAAAATCTGTAATCAAACCTATTTAGTCATTGAAAGAATTAAAAAAATAAAATATAAATCCACAACTATTTTAAATTAATAAAAAGACCCCTACTTAGTTAAGATTTTATTCAAACAAGATTTTAAATTTTATTTAGTCCTAAAAGTGTTTTGTTTCATTTTGTGTCTAAATTAACATTGAAATTTGGTTTTTCAGCCTCGCCAATAAAATTAATATGAGTATTAGATGTATTGAAGAAGTAGAATCAACTAGTTTAAGTAATAACACTTCGCTATAAATAATAATAGAATAAACTAATACATCAACTAAGTTATAGGTAGAATTTAACCAAAAATTTCAAGACAATCAATTAGAAATTGTAAATTAAAATTGGCTTATAATACTACATAAAGGCAGTGCAGTCCAATATCCATTGCACAAGATAGAATAAAATTTTAAGGTTTTTTTAAAAATAAATTCTTAACTAGATATAGTCTTTTACTAATTTGTAATACTTATCGGTTTATATTTTATTTTTATAATTCTTTCAAGGATTAAATAAATTTAAATTAAAAAACTTTAAAAACTTAATAAATTCAATCAATAGTTTAAGGATTAAATAAATTTTGATTTATATATTTGAAGAATTTAATGAAGTCAATCGATAATTTAATGACTACATAGATAATTCGATAATAATTTAAGAATAGAAAGCGTAAAACCCTTCTCTATTTTAAAGAACCAAAGTTTCAAATAAACCCTTCAACAATATCCTCTACCCTTTTCCTACTTCTTTTAAATATTCATTTTAAACATTTTTTTTAAAATTGAAATATGCTCCCAATTCCCCCCCCCCCCCCCCTTTTTCCCACTTTTAGTTCCATAAATTTCTCCATAATTCAATATCTAAACACAATAATAAAGTCAAAGTGGGAATTTTCTCAACCGTGGTATAGATGCAATCATTGTTCACAAGAGTTTGGATCAACTTTAAAAAAATCTTATTTAGTTTTTCAACTTAAAATTTGTTACAAATTTAACCACATACGGTCCAATCTTCTTATCGTAGTACTGTGAATGAATCTAAGTTGTGAATCTCTAACTTTCTTAACAAAAAAAAGTATTTGAAAATTGCTCTGAAATTTATTAAAAATACAACTTTATATCACACGAAATCAAATCTATATAGTTCACTTTATTTTGAATAAAATTATGAACAACTATTTCGACAACTAAAAATTATTGAAAATAGATACCGTCACCAAACCCAACATCAAGATCATCAATAATCATATATTAGACCAGACTGCACAATGATAAAATACATGAGACATTCGTGTGGTCAAATAAAACCACCCATTTCTGGTACAAATATGCTAGGGACCAGATTAATCCATTAAGAAAATTCTGAATAAGTAATTGTGTGATAAAAATTAATTTATATAGTGTGAGATTCATATATAAAATAAATTTAAATCACAAGATAAAGATTCTGAATAATTTCTGAATTGATAAGAGTATATTCATAATATTACTCTTTCTGGTAATACACCCCTTTGATTTATGTTGGAATCACATCCCAGAAAGGGCAGACAAGAAAATGCTGAAAATACAAGGACTTCTGTATTTACATCCACAACAACAACAAATAACAATTTGTAACATGTGAAGAAAATTTAAAAAAATAATAATAATTAGAAAAACAAATCAATCATAGAGTTGTGTAAGACCATCTTTGTAGTTGTTGTTTGTTGGAGTTGGGTTTGGTGGGTCCATTGAGTCCGATCCTGACCCGATAGATCTTGGTGACCAAGGGATCAACAAGCTGATTGGTGGAAAGCAACATGTGCAGTTCTCTTGGCATGGCTTTGGCATCTCCCAGTTGCTTATTGATGGGGTTTCATCTCCTTTGTCTTTGTAGGACCCACAACTACTAACCTTAGAAGGTGCTGCAGCATCCTTGAGTGGCCCCCAACACTCCACCTTGTTGTATTCTGGAATGTTGGAGTGAAAATATACCCAAACCAGAGCTTCCTCTAATTCTGGATAGTTGTTGAACAAATTCCCATCTCCATGTACAAAGGCCTTCAAAACCTATTCATATTGTGTTATTAATGTATATCTTTAGATTACCTTGGGATTGCTTGGCTCACCTTATGGACTTGTTATAAATTAATGGAACTGAAGTGTTAGCCAGGTCTTTTACCAAGTGTGATGTGTGAGTTTGAATTTTATTAACTTCTGGGTTAATCCCCTCATACCCATAATGAAATAATAATTTAATAATAATAGAGATTGAGAAGGGATATACCACAGGGAGTTCCTTGGAGAAGATGAAGAATCTGAGCCTAGCACAGAGATCTAATAGAAAGTGGCCACCACTTATGTGACAGTGAACATGGAGAGACATTTTCTCCTGGACTTTCTTCCACTCTGCTACAACTTCATCTCTCTGAAACTTATTGTACCACCCCTGTAACTGCACTCCAAAATTCCCAGATCATCCACTTTGTTAATTTTCTACACCAAAACTTCTAGTCAACACTTAATGGCTAGGTAAGATAAAAAAAAAAAAATAGCATTGGAATCAAAATCAATAATCCTCTGTTTTGACCTTGTACTAACCTTTAGAATTAACTTGAAAACAAGATGAAATTAAACAGTAAAACCTTGTTTTTCTATTTATTTTTGATCTGAGTTTATCAGGTTGTGATTACTATGTAAGGATTTGAAGTATGCATGAACTCATATATTATGACTAATATAATACGTACAATCCCCCGTTTTTTTTTTTTTTTGACTTAATAAATTAATCAAGATCCAAATAGTCAAACAAGAAATTGGTATTCTAATCAACTGGTTGAAAGGGATTAGAGTAGAAAAGATTAGTAGATCAAATTAAAATAAGTTATTTTGATAGAAAAGTCTTGCAGATCAAGATTACCTGAGAGTTGTTTATTGATTGAGAGATGGCCAGAGTGAGCTTAGAGGTTATATCACTATGTGTGAGTGTATAAGTTCTTGGAAGCTGCCCTGGATGCTTCTTTTCATCAACTCCTAGGAACAGAACCTGCAGCTTTGAAGCTTCAAAGATTGCTGGTCCAAACAACCTTGCAACCTGTACCCAATCAAACCCTTCAATCAATACATACATAAACACATACATATAGATAGACGTGTATTAAAAAAGAGGGGGGAGAGAGAGAGAGAGAGTTATTACAGGGACAATAGATTGGTGCTTCTTGGGTGATCTTCTTCTGTGGATGAAAAGAGAGCTATGTTGGTGAAGTTGAGAGAGTGAGGAAGGCTTTAGCTCAGATGGAAGCACAAGAGAAGCAGTCAAAGTACCCATCTCTGGGCAAACAGAGGCTTGCTCTCAGACCTCTCTTTTCTTCTTCAAGCTCCAACTTCTCAGGACACTTATAGTTAATTTATAAAGATAATAACAGTTATTAAAACGAAAATTATAACTAGAAACAAAAAGCAAAAGAGAGAGAAAGAAAGGGGACACTTGTAAGTTTGATATTTGGTATGGGGTTTGATATTACTATTGCTTTATTGGGTTTTGCTAGAGCTTTGCTTTGCTTAGAAGGTTGAAAGATTGAAGATTGGATTTCATTTCAAACAAGAACTAAAAGAAGTAAAACATAAAAAGAAATAAAGAAAGAGAGAGGTGAAAAAAAAGGATTGGAGAGGAGGAATTAAATTGTGTCTTTCAGAAATTTTAATTAGATTGTGTCTTTTTATAATTTTATTAATTATTTTATATAATATATAAAAAAAATAATATAAATGTATAATCAATAGAATTATAAAAATATACCATACAAAACATAAAACGGGTCTATGTAATCTTTTTTTTCTTTTTTTTTTTTTTATACATTGAATTTTTTTAAAAAAAATTATGGAAAAAATACAATTTGAAGAATAAAAAGTACACATAAATAATAAATTATATATTAATAATTAAAATTTTAATTTTAATTTTTTTTCATGCATTTATAGATATTTTTTTTGAAAAACCCAGTTATAGGCCATTAATTTATTATTATTAATTTTACCACTAGTGAGGTGGTAATTGAAATATATATATATATATAAACACACAGTGACTGTGAGCGGGACCCACTATCACATCATTAAAGTCACTATTAATTAGTAATCTAAAACATTTCTTTTTTTGTTTTTTTTTGGTAAATAGAGAACTGCATTCTCCTGATATCTGACACGGCCTGATTTGAGTGTAAAGTACCGACTTCAGATCGTCTTCAGGTTGTCTTTCCTGTAACTTCTGCGGGAAACGCCTTAAATGGAGCTATGTCATCCGGACAGCAAGAAAATACGGTTCTATTTGTTCAATAGATATAAAATAGAAGATATAATATGATGTGAAATTTAGTTAGAATATATAATGAATAGGACATAAGTATTGAATAATATATCCCCCAAGTCATGTTTGTTGACTTGATATATAAAATTAAATATATATTATCCATGTTAGTTTTACAAAATATATTGTGGGATATAAACAAATAATTTCTAAGATTGCCTTCATAATATTATATTATATTAACTTAAATTCAATAATATTATATTATATTAAATTCAAAATTTGTATTAAATTATATTAAATTAAATTATATTATATTAAATTCAATAATATTATTATATTAAATTCAAAAAATATATTAAATTATATTATGTTAGATGGACAAAAGGGTAAATTGGACTTTTTAAATCATATCCCAACCAAAGGGATATGATATAATGGGGGTGGTGGTATTGTATATCCTCCACTTTTGGGAGATATACAATCCCATGGGATATTATATCCTTCCTGAAAAAAAAATTGTAAACATGGGATATGTGGATCCCACAGGATATAATATCCAATCCCAACCTTTATATCCTGGAATTAAACAGGGCCTTAGATTGTTTGAGATATGCACTTTTTTAACTTTTTGGATGAAAAAGTAAAAGAAAAAAAATATGTATTAAAAAAAATTAAAATTTGTATTAAAATTTGGGATAATTTTTGGGAAAAAAAATTTGGGAAAAATTTGGGAAAAAAAAATTTGGGGGGAAACTTTTTCCCCCGTTTCCATTTACTTAGATTTTTTATACAAAAAAATATTTACTAAAATATTATATAAAATATTAAAATTACGAAATTACCCTCCCTGACACAGTCAGTATTACTGCGCTGACTTTCTATCTCTTTTCAAATTTTTTTATTTTTTTTAATGAAAATGTGTGACTTTAAGCGTGCCACGTTTTTTTTTCTTTTTTTTTTTGATGAAAATTTGTGGCTGCACAGTTTTGTGGCAGCATTGTTTTTTTTTTTTTAATCTGACAAATTTCCCGTTAAAATAAAGGTAAATAGTATGATTTTTTTTAAAACTTTTTTAGTGACTTTTTTGATTTTTAAATTTTATAGATAATACCAAACCAGCCCTAAATTTAATGATTCAAATTTATTTATTTAAATAAAAAAATTTCAAACACACTCACACTTTCATTCTGTTTTGAGTAATGATATATCCCTCTAATTTTAGAACTTTAATTAAGTTTTAATGATGTGATAGAGAATAAAAAAAATAACAATAAATAAAACTAAGGTCAAAACATCACATTACAGTGGAGCCACTCTCATTAAAACTTATTAGAGTTATTTTATTAGAGCTCCCAATCATTTTTCTTCTTTTTTTTCTCTGACTCTCTCTCCCTCCCTCACCGACACACACACACTCTCTCTCTCTCTCTCTCTCTCTCTCTCTTTTCTAATAAAAAAATTATTTTAATCTTTTTCATTTTATTTTCAGAATATATATATGTATAAAATTTTAATTTTATAAAATAAATATCATTGAAAATATACCTTTAAAATGAGACTAATATTAAATATATTTAATAAAAATTTAAAATAAATAAAAAGTATTTAGTTATGTTTTCAAATTATTATTTTTAAAAATAAAAATTAATTTGATGAAATAAACACACAAAAATCATATATTTTTGAAATTCTCAAAAACAATTTTCATTCCTATATATATATATATATATGAAAATAATGTCTTTTAATTTAATTTTATTAACCAAACGAGTTCATAATTTTTTTAAAAGGAAATAAAAAATACTGTATTTGATTTGCACCTATGCACAGATTGAATTTGTATTTTAAAGAAAATAAAAATTTTGCACCTTTGCACAGATTGGATAAGAGCAAAAGAGGAACGTGGTAATTTTATAATGAAATAAAAAAAAAATTATATATAACTTTCATTATCTATATAATAAGGGAAGATGATTTTTGAAAATGTATAAAAATATCTCAGTGATACATTTAATTTGGACGGCTGAGATGCTTTGTGACATTTGCATCTCAAAACAATCCCTGAGACATTTTCCCGCCCAAAACAATCCCTTTCTCTCTCTCTCTCTGCAGCGTCCCACCCACACATCTAAAACATTTGCACTTCTCTCTCTCTCTCTCTCTCTCTCTCTCTCTTCCTCTCCATCTTCCTCCTTTCCACTGCCGCTCTGCTTCCACCGTTGTGCCGCCTCTGAACTCCACCGACAGCAACTCTTCATCTCTTCTCCCTCCCAGATCTCAGATCTCAGGTCTTAGATCTTCTCTCTCCTCCGATCTCCACAGACAGCAACTATTCATCTCTTTTCCTTCCCAGATCTCAGGTCTCAGATCTTCTCTCTCCTCCGATCTCCACCGACAGTAACCATTCATCTCTTCTCCTTCCCAGATCTCAGGTCTCAGATCTTTTCTCTCCTCCGATCTCCACCGACAGCAACTCCTTCTGCCTCTCGAACTCGGCTTGCAAGGTAAGATTTATGCCTCTCCCTTTCTCTCTCTATTCCCCTTCTCTCTCTGTCGGGCTGTGTCTGCCTCTCTAGTCCTCCGCAACCTTCCCTCTCACTGTCGGCCTATGAACAACTTATTTTAGGGTTTTGTTTACGGGTCATTTAGGTTGGACTCCAATTTTTTTATTAGTTTAAATCCAATTTTTCTCTCTATCTAATTTTTTGGCTTGCTAATCAAACAGCTTCTGTGAACTGGTTGTTGGCCTAGGTGTCTCAACCCGCTATGGTGCCTCCGTCTTCCACCGTCGAGAGTTTGATGAGTTAGGCACCATGTCTTCCCAAAGCAAGCGTAGAGTTTGATGAGTTTAATTTATTGTTTTATTGTTTTTTTTTTAATTGTTGGGTTTTGATTGTTGTGAAATAGTAAATCTTCAATTTTTTTGTTCCATATAATTTATTATTTTTTTTGTTTTTTTTTAATTGTTGGGTTTTTTTATAGTTCATTTGTTATTATAATTTTTTTCATGATTTTGCTATTCAAATTTGGTACCGCTGTTCAATTTCATGATTTTGCTGGTTTACTATGAAGTTGAGGGCTTAGTTAAAGTGCTCTGTTTCTATAAATTTTTTGAATTTGGAGTTTATTTGGTGTATTTAGTTTCATGTCTTCATTTAGGAAACCGTCAGGTTTGGTATCAAGATCGCTGACATTTGTATGTGTATGAATTTTTTTGTTCATGTCTTTGTTCAATTTCATGATTTTGCTATGAAATTTGGCTCTCATTTCGTAAATTTCTTTGTTCCAGCCACAACCACATCCTCACTGTACCGCTGTTCAAAGGTAATTTGATTTCTCTTTTTCTCCCTTTCTCCCTTTAAGTAATTGAGTAATTTAGTTCGCATGTTCGAGTTTGGTATCAAGTTCACTGATTTTCTTTGTTCAATTTCATAATTTTGTAGTTTGAAGTGTTGGTATAGGGTTCGCTAACTTCTTTTAGGTATGATTTTTTGAGGGCTTAGTGGAAGTGCTGGTAAAGTTGGTGTTTTCTGAATTTAGTTGAAGTGCTTGGTTGAATTTTCTATAAATTGGTGTATTGAGTTCCATGTCTTCATCTAGGAATTTTTTTTCTTCCTGTGAATTCATTCCCTACTCTTTGAAAAGAAAGAAAAAAAAACAAAATTTTTTTGAACCATAATGCATCTTGAGGTACTCTGTAGTTTATGGAAAATTTTAGGACCATAATGCATGTTTGTTCCATGTCTAAAGCATTCTGTTATCCATGTAGAACTCACTACTCTTTTCACTGCCAATGCACCACTACAGCTTTGTCCACTAACCTCTATATAGTTGTCTCAAACACTTTAGAGAGCAAGTGATCAAGTAAAATTGGTTAAACAAATACTTTAGAGAAGCAAGTGATCAGGTATGGTTATTGAGTTTATTTATTCCTTTATTTATTGTGTTTGTATGCCAAACGAGTTCACTGAGTCATTTCCATTTTAAAGTCTCTAGATAATTAATTCCCTTTGCCTATAGAATAATTAAGCCCCAAAAATGTGAAAAGAAAAAAATTAAACTACTGTTCACAATTAAACTGCTATTCTGTCAATTAAGACAATGATAAGAAAAAAAAATTAAGCAATGGTGAATGCCTCCTTCATCATTTTGATGTGACAGGAAGATGTGCATAGGGGAGGAAAAACACCATACATTACATGTATAAGTGTGTATGTTACAACAACATTCAAATGCATACCATGTCATAAGCTATACATTCAAATACAAGCCTCTCATCCAATACTACTATTCACAATTAAACTGCTAATTGTTTCAGTCTTTTTGCTGGTTCAAAATTGTTGTGTTGA